CCAAGGTTGGGTGACAGGGGCACTATAGCCACCAAGTCATGCCTGGGGGCCCAGCCCAGCTTCCTCTGGTTTAGGGGACACACGCCAATCCCTACACACCAGTGGGCCCAGGGTATCCACACATGCACGGTCCTCAATAGCATTTCCACAGCCACCAACCCCCAGCCCAGCTCCTGTCCCTCACATGCCACCCACAGTCCTACCCCCTCCAGAGACATGCCCCACACGCATGACCCTCCACACACACACACACACACACACACACACACACACACGCTCAGCTTCCATGGGCTCCCCCACCCAGCTCAAAATCCAGCTTCTGAAACCTCTGTATCCTTAGCCTTGAACAGGAGGAGGGGGCTCCCCCATACCCTTTGAGCCTCTGCCCAGCTCAGTGATCTGGCCGGGTGCAGACAGGTGACCCCAGGGAGTAACGGGAGTCCCAGCAGAGGGGAAGCAGAAGAGAACTCTGCCTCCTTTAAGTTATTTTTAGAAAGCAAGGATGGGTGGATGGATGGATGGATGGATGGATGGATGGATGGATGAAAGGGCAGCGGGAGCTGAGGCAGGAAGGTGCCGGCTATTCCCTGGAAGTGAGGAGGGTGTGGGACATCTCCATCCCCTCCCCGCTGCTGCCCTGCACCCTGCTAGGTGTGGGGGGAGATCAGGAGAACTATTGGGCTGCGGCAGGAGCTGCTGTGATGGGACTTCCAGGGGAGGCTTGACTCGCAAGCGCAGACACCGCACCACGCTGCGGCTCAGCTCGGTTCCCCCCCTCACCCCCCTCACCCCTCCCCACTGCCGCCTGCCTGTCTGCCTACTTATCTCCTGTCTGAGACCCCTTCTCCTCTTACCTTACAGGAACCCCCAGGACTCAGAGAAGGGCACGCACTCCGCGGAGGCTTTGGGGACAGTCACACGCAGGGCACGGGGAGGGCAGCAGGCATGAGCCCTGCAGCCGGGGAGTGGGCAGCCTTCAGAACTCCTGACTGCCCGCCCCTGATTCTGAAGGACAGAGGAGGGATGCTGGGGGCACCAGGAGGGGGAGCAGACAGGTGTCAGGAAGAGGGAGGGCACTGAGAGAGAGAGGGGAGAGGGGAGACAGAGGAGAGAGAGACAGAGGAGATGGAGAGAGGATCAGACACCCAGAGAAATCGGAGAGAGAGGGGAGTGAGGAGGAGGAGGGCGAGGGGGATGGAGAGAGAGAGAGAAAGAGAGAGAGAGACTGTGACCTGAGCAGCAACATGTGGTAGCTCTCACTTCTGGAACATCCTGAGCCGATCCCCCCACCCCACCCCCACCCCTTGCAGGAACACACCATAATTGCACCCTGTGGCTCACACCCATCCTTTGATTCACTTGCACACACACACACCCTGTACTCACATGCACACAATTAGACTCGTACACACTCTCCAGGTACACCCTCACGCTTGGGACAGCCCAGTCTCTCATGTCCACACAGCTGGGCCAGCCCTTACCTGGCCCCAGAAGCAGCAGGTGTCTGGGCAAATACTCCCTCTATCCACAGGACGGCCTCCCTGAGCCCAGGGCTGCTGGAGGCGATGCACAGGGCTCGGCTCAGGCACCCAAGCCCAGCACCCGCTGCCCTGGCAGCCGGCTTGATCAATGCCCACATTGCAATGGCTGTTTAGGTGGCCTGCAGGAAGCAGAGCCATTTGTTTTGTCAGAGCGTAACCATGACAATCACCCCATGCGCGTCCACCGCTGATGCTGGCCCCTACCCGGCATCCCCTCCCCCTTCTCTGGAGCACGGGAGAAGGCAGGAGGCCACTTAGCAGGCTCGCTAATTCCTGCTGGTGCTGATGGAAAGGGCGGGCCAGCGCTAACAGGTCTGTGGCCAGGCCCTCCCTGGGGAGTGCAGAGGTCGACCAGCCGTGCATGCGGTGACCCCAGGTGATTGTGCATCATGCTGGCTTTGTTTGGGGACCAGAGTGGACCTGCCTCCAGCACATGGCCTTGCACATCTGTTTTTGAGCAAGTGGCACAAACTGTCTGTCTGTCTGCTCTCAAGAGGCCACAGTACAGCCAAACAGAAGGTGGTGGTGGCTATGGTCATCGGCAAGTTATCTGCCCAGACTTTTGGCTATGGCCGTTCAACCTTAGCGTTCCCAGCCCAGACTATGGCCTGCCAGTCCTGGTCATGCCAAAACCCAGGGGATACTTCTAGGCTTTTAGGTGCAGGAACCTAAAACATCAGGCGAATTTGGGCAGCTCAGGTCAGAGGCCTATCAAGATCAAGGACAAGTAAAAGACCGGGAAACCAAGAAATTGTCGAGGTGGGATGAATCTAGTAAGAAACTTAGACTTTGGGGATCCAAAATTGAGACTGTAGATCACCCAAAGCCACAGGACGGAGCTGGCTACCAGACCTTTCCACACCTCTCATTTAATTCTTATCGCAAGCCCCAAAGGCTCTCATCTCAATTTTATGGAGACACTGAGGTCCTGGGAGGTGGGAGATTGGCATTGGGCTGCTAGCCCCAAGGTCAGCAGTTGAAAACCACTTCCTCAAAAAAAAAAAAAAGAAAAGAAAACCACTTCCTCAGGAGAAAAGGCTTTCTACTGCTGTAATGCAGTTCACTCTCAGAAACTCACTGGGGTCATCTACCCTGTCCTCCAGGACCACGATGAGCCAGCATCGACGCGAAGGCAATCAGTGTTTTGGACATGGCTAGAAGGTAACAGAGGATGGATTCGAACACATACCTGCTGGATCCCATGACCCCTTGTTGGCCTGTAGTAGCTGCCACTGTGCGCCAGGCCCTGCAGAGGAGACCTGGACGAAGTGCACTCTCACTTGTCCGACCCCCAAACACTGGGAAGTGGATGCCTCTCATTTCTAAAAGGAGCTCAGAAAGGTGAAGCAACCTGACCAACTCCACACAGCAAGGGGAGAGTCAACATGCCTGACTCACAACCTTCCCCACCCACCAAGGGCCATCCAGGACAGATGGCCTGCCCCTTTTTGCACTCTCAGCCTAAGTAGGCAAAGTCCGAGAGTGGGACAGGAGAGTAGCCGATGCAACGGGATAAGAAAGATTTGTCATCAACTAAGTCCATATGGAAGAAGCACACTATCATCATTCAGAAGGGTTGTAAATCATATAATCTGCAGTCAAAGGAGGGAATAGTATCAGAACCTAAAGTATGGATGACAGTGGGAGCCCAAGACATTTGTGGGGACTGCACAGGAAATAAATCTCCAGTGGAATCCCTCTATGCACAATTGAGGGATGGGGGAAAGAGGTGATTAAACAGAGCGTCAGAGAGACGTGTATAGAAGGTCAAAGGCATAAAGGTGACTTGAACAGTTACAATTGTGTCAGTTGACCCCGAGTCTGACCCATGCTGGACCTGACCTGGTTTTCTAGCATTTTCTGTATGTTGGGTTTGTATTGTGTTGTTTGGTTTTTGTTTGTTCAATTTAGGGTGCATCTCAGAAGAGTGTGTGTGTGGAGGAGGGGTACAGTAGGGTGGTAGGATAAGGGGGAGATGATGTCAAGGAGTCCAGGAAGAAAGAGAATGTTTGTAAACTGATTGTGGTAGCAATTGTACAATTCTGCTTGACGTGATAGAACCATGGAATGATTATGACATATGTATTAACTCCCAATGAATAAATGAAAAAGAAAGATTTGTTTGGAGCAGAGACACCATGTGGGGTCCAAAAAGCCTGGCTAGGTATCAGATGACATGTGATATGAGGCAGAAGTTCACACAACAATTACTCCACCTTTAGGGGACTTCCAAAGGGATGCAAACCCTCATAAATCTCAGCTAAATGCAAGGATCCTTCTCAATGTTGCAGGTGCCAGCCAGCTGAGAGGGAAGTCCCAGCAAGATAACTTGGAAGAGTGGTTTAGGGGGATTAATGAACAAAGGAGGGGGGAGGCCCATGGGGCAATTCTAAGACTTGCTTGTTTAACGTGGATTGCCTCAGAACGCTGGCTAGGAACAGAATCATCCTCAAGACAGAAGCAAAAGCCCATCACAGACTGAGTAGAAAATTACAGTTTGGGGAATGGAATAGTGCTCTTGTCACCATGAAGACTAACCAGCCACAATGAGTCAGGCACTCGGGCCAGTCCATAGAGAAAGAGGCAGGGAGCCAGGCACAGATTCCCCGGGAATCGGTAGAGTGAGAAGAGACCCAAGGATCCCCAACCAGCTCCCTAAAGCCTTTCCACATCCACCATCTAATTTGACCTCAAAATCTCCCAGTGGAGAAGGAATTGTCCGTTACGCCCTCCTGAGGGGGCAGAGGGTAGACAATGAGGGGAAGCCGGTCGCCAGCAGTCCCAGCCAAAAAGTGTCAAAACTGACATGCCAAATCAACCCCCTTGGACTCCAAAGTCCCTTGTGATGATACACATGGCCTCACGTGACCTAGAGCCACCGTGAGTCCCTTAACTTAGAGCCGGGCTCACTGTACCACTGAGCGGTCAAGGTGTTGGACTTAAGATCTATAGATGTGTGTCCGTGTGGGGTTGAATCCACTCCTGCAAGATGGGTAGGTGGCCTAAAGCCAAACAACCAACCTCACTGCCATTAAGTTGGTTCCAACTCACAGTGACCCTACAAGACTGAGTGGAACTGCCCCTGTGGGTTTCTGAGATTGTAACATTTTAAGGGAGTAGAAAGCCTCATTGTGCTCCTGTGAAGCAGCTGTTAGTTCCAAGCTGCTGGCCTCCTGGTTAGCAGCCCAACGCATCACCCCCTAAGCCACGAGGCTCATACCAAAGCCAAACTCACTGCCATCGGGTCAGAATGACCCTCTGGGGCAGGGTAGAACGGTCCCCGTGAGTTTCCCAGACTGTAACTTTTTATAGGAGTAGAAAGCCCCACCTTTCTCTCTTGGTGTGGCTGGTGGTTTCCAACTGCTGAGCTTACATTTAGCGACTACTTATAATT